TTTTCGATTTCCAACTGCCAATGAATTTTTTTACGAAACAAGGCACACGGGCGTCCGATCTTATTACCAAAATACCACGAAGAATTAATAGAAGTCCCAAGTCCACTTGAAAAATCCCAGCTGTTACCGGGGATTGAACCCGGAACCTCTAGCACTCGTTGCGGACACCATGCCTCGAGACCAGGCAGCCCTCTAAGCCATGGCTTGAAGAGCGACTAATGCGGGTTGCTAAAGTTGGATGTGTTGTGCCGAAAGAGATCCGCGCGAAAAGTACTACTGGCAAAGGAAGAAGTCTTAACATGTTAAGGAAGCGAGATACAGTTGGTGACGGTAATCGGAGTCCCAGGTCTGTGGATTGCTTGTCGGATAATCCTAACGGGGCACAGCCCGTAAAGCAGAAATCTCAATACATGAATTAAATTTTTTTAAAGAAAAGGACCCGTTTCTACACCTTTCAGTCGAATTAGGTATATAGGGCTAGACCTATATTTTACAGACCAAACAGCACTTGGTGGGTGATGTGGTCAGCATCACACCGACCGCCTTTACTTCCCATGACTGAACCTGGTACCCACTCAGTCTGGGAGCCAGAGTCATTTTGAAATAAAAAGGAAAATCCGACCATCGACAGGAACCGATCCCACGAGCTTTCGATTCGCAGGCGAGCTTCTAGCCCCTAGACCACGTAGCTCCATTAATACATGCATACAGATGTGTGTGTGTTTTTGTTTGTTCTTTTATCACCATCTGTAAGCGGGGAAAGTCTTGGTTGTTCATTCATTTTGGCTTCTTGCCTGGTCCTGTGTTTTGAGTGTAAATCTCATTTACTGGCTTATGTCTGTGCAGATGTTTGCTCGTTGCCGCTCGGGGCAGATGTTTGCTTGTTGCCGCTCGGGGCAGATGTTTGCTCGTTGCCGCTCGGGGCAGATGTTTGCTCGTTGCCGCTCGGGGCAGATGCACTCCGACTGCAAAGGAAGCGCCCAGTTAGTTGACTCCTTTGACATGCCTGCTGAAAAAACAGTGGGTCTATTCTTCCCTCGCCCCTACAATGGGGCCCTGGAACCCACATGGCGACTATACGGATGTGAGATTAAGCAGTTATGTGCAGGACATGATGTTTCCTTGAGGAATCCACTAACGGTGTACTATTTATCGGTTCCGTCTTGATTGTAAGCCTCCGCCTCCCCGTCCCTTTTTTTCTCTTCTTTTTTTTTCTTCCCCTGTATGGGGGATCATGCGCGTGTTATGCAACTGTCTTCTCTCGAGGACAACATATAACCCAATATTAGCACAACACTTGGCACAAATAACTAAGACCATAAATATAACCGAGTATCGATAGCAGCAGGTTTATTTTTCTAAAACGGACACTGACCTTGAGGGCTGACCAGTCTGCGCTTGGTGTTCTTGGGCATGTCCTCTAGGGACCACACCCGTGGTTGAGGCAATGGCGAAACCACCACACAAATGAGGCTGTATGTAAAATGTCTGTCTGTGTCTCATGAAACTAGAACAAGAAGCTGGGTGTGTCGACCGAAAGGCGCAAATTTCGCAGGTATGCTGGAAACCGGAAAAATGTATTTTCGTCACTCTGTCGAACAATTAAGAAGAAGATTGTGCCGAAAGACGCAGATATCACAGCCTATCTGTAAACCGCCTTTTTTTTAGCGTGAACGCAGAAAAGTATAAGGAAGACTGCATAAACACAAAATGCTGCACAGATTTTATCATCTAACACAAAAATAAAATGATCTCACAGGCTGTGTGTGCGAGTGTTTTAGCGTATGTGAGGAAAAGGGTTCCCTCCGCTTGTCTTTTGTCCTATTGCACTGCACATAGGACAAGTCCATGTGTATTTTGCAGGGGTCTTGAAGCTCGTGGACCGTGCCCTCCCCCACCAATCCTACCCTACACCATATGTAAACTGGATACATCTCTCCCGACCAGACAATTACCACTTTCATGGGTAGCGTGGCCGAGCGGTCTAAGGCGCTGGTTTAAGGCACCAGTCTCTTCGGAGGCGTGGGTTCAAATCCCACCGCTGCCAATTTCTTTTTTTTTTTTTATGCGGGAAGCTAAATGCCCCCACCTGCCTAAACGTGTGTGAAGGTTATCATTCAGGTATTTGTTTTAATATGTCATATTAGATTAGCTGGCTCTGCACAACTTGGTGGAATATTCATTCACGATAAGACATACGTGGTTAAGGTCTTATGGGACATGTGCAGTTCGGAACAGCAAATTGACCATCACAGTCTGGTGAGAGTGATGCAACCAGGATGACGAGAGTATCTCACCGATACTCGACGCTCCGAGGAAAGGCAAGACTGATGTATAATCAGACTGCTACTGACACCATTGGTTCTGGAAATATGCTCTGGCTGCTGAAGATGGGGACAGAGCACTTATGGCAATGACTCGAGTGCTGTGATGTCGATTCTTGAATCAACTCAACATTTCATACTAATTTAAATACTTATATACTTAGTAGCTGCTTTTCTATCTTGGGGTGTAGAGGTTTGCCAAAATACGCCAGATTTCTCTATCAGCAGTTTTCTTTTTGGTTTTCTTCCAATCGAGTCCTCTGTCAGTCAGGGACCGTCGGATGTTGTTTTTCTGGCAAATCCTGGGTCATCCTAGTGGTCTGGTTCCCTGATTCTTGGCCTGCCATGGCTGCCGATGCTCTCCTATTCTGCATACATGTCCAAACCATTGTAAATGTGACTTATTTACTTGAGTTTGTAAGGTCTGAGTTTCAAGGTCATGGCGCATTGTCTGATTTCGAACTTTGTGCCTTCTTGTCCGTTGGACCATCTTTCTCTATTCACATTCAAAAACTGTTTTCAGTACTTTTTGGCAAAATTAAAATACTCAAAATTTTAAAACAATAAATGGTGGCCGAAAGGTCGTTGTGTTTGGAAGCTCGCTCTCCTTCGAGATACGCCTAGCCAGATCAAAGGGAGACAGAACAAACAGGAAACACCAAGAATGAAGAAGGAAGACATGCACCAGTGACAACAGGACAAGCGGTTTGATACGGAGGGAAGCATTAAGCCAGAAATGGCACAAACACCAGTATTTAGTCACGAAAGTGACGCAAATAACCCAGACCACAAATATAGGCGGAGACTGTTAGCAGTCTAGGCTAGCTAGCAGCAGTCTGAACGTGGTCGAGCTTTTCTTTTTTTTTTCTTAAAAGGACTTGGACTTGCCTGAAGCTGGCTTCTGTGAGCTGTTGACAAATAACAAATATGTTTTTGAAGTCACATTGTCTAGTTCATTTCATTTTAGAATGTTATGTGCCAGTTTGTCATGGCAGCTATGGCCAAGTAGCCGGTACTACATCGATTCGTGCCAGAAGCCTACAAAGACGTTAACTTCTAGATTTGTTTGAAGAATATGGAACTGAGCGTGTAGACCTACTTTTTCACACACACGTACGAAGGCTCAATTGGGCTGTGTTTTTGACAAAATGCAATAGCCTTCTTCTAGAAATTAAGAGTTTTTGAAATTCTGAGGAGATTGTTATCGTAATTTAGAAGAACGTGAAACTAATTTATTTTGTGTGATTTTACTGAAAAAAACATAAGCTAGATGAAGAAAATGTTAGTTTGCAAGGAAAGGACAAATCTCTCTCTCTACACAAAAAAAGGGGGAGGGGTGGTGTTCTGTTCAGTGACTACAAATATTGGGAAATCCATATGTCATGGGACAGTCCAATATTTTAGAGGTGTTAAGACCTAGAGTTTTCTGAGACCGGGTTGTCTTTGCAGTTTCTTCCAAGGCCAAGCTGGCGTTCGGTGTGAAACAGAAACCGCTTTCATGGCATTTCCACTTACAAAAATTGAAACTGACTGCGCTGATGAACTCTGTTCTAAAATATCAGAATTAGTGGGAGGAGACGCCAAAATACTAGAATAAAAGAAAATAGTTATGACATTTACCCACAAGAAAGAGCTACTGGCAGCGTTCTCGAGCTCTGTAAATTACTGTCTCATAAAAATTATGTGGAGATATTCTTTTTCTTCTTCTTCGCGTTCACCAGCTGCAAACTCTGGAGGAAAGTTCTGGTTGTTCTTTCACTTCTGGACTGCAGTTGTGTTCCAGAACCTGAGTGTTGCGTGTGCATCCGTTTTACAGATCTGACTCATTTGTATGCAGACTGTTTGTTCCTTGCCTTTCAGGCAGATGCACTCCGACTTTGAAGGAAGCTCCCAATTAGTCGACTCTTACGACATGCTTATGGGTAGGTAGTGGGTCTATTCTTTTTTTTTCCTATAACAGGGCCCCAGAACCCACATGGGGATTCAGATATTCAAATGGTGGCATTTTATGGGGAAATATTCTCGGATGTAATATCTGTGCAAATCAGCGCTCTCTGACTGACTTTCTACCCCACCAGGACATCACACAAAGTGCCACAATGTGGGTGAGGATCGCCGTGGAGAGGTCACAGAAACCGCGTTCAGACAATTGGCCATATGTATGGCCTGCCTATATTGCCCCTGGAAAAAGCCAGGGTAGGGCTTCAAATAACAAAAAATTTCGTCCTTAAAAAGACGAAACTGGAATAATATATAAAAATACAGCGCTCTCTACAATGAACACGATAACATTCTAAAGAGAGGTTCCTGTAAGTAGCATTCGCGTTTAATGATTTAGTTAAGTAAATAAAAAGTAAAAGACCCTTTTTCCCCACACTTTTAGGCGTAATGGGCATAAATGGCTAGACCCATATGTTACAGACTAATGAACTATAACATTATTTACCCCCCCAGATAATTCTTGCCCCTAACGGATGAGGTTATTTTGTTGGCACTTGCGCACATCAGAGAAGGGCAGACAACCGACCAGCCACTTCCTTTTCAGCTGAGACTAGGAAAATGGTGAGAGCGAGAACACGGTATTTTTAATTCTATCGGTAGTAATCTTGATATATTTGCAATGGCTGGCAACCGTTTTGTATTCCTAATATTATTATTTTTATCATCTTTCTATAGGGAATTGACATCTGTCACAAGTACGACAGGAAGGTCCGTAGGACCGAGCCAAGAAGTGAGGATATTTACTTGAGATTGTTGGTCAAGGTAAGGTTTCAGTATGTCTTTTAGGCAAAACATATCCACATTGTATTCTTTGATTTTTGTGTCTTACCATTAAGCTACAGTTGTCTTAGTTTGTGAATAAAATGGACATGCAGTTGTATTTAATAATGACGATCAAGCAGTCATCTACCTTTTGTGAATGTGATGGTGATATACACTAGTCGAGGAACCAGCCAACAGTCTGCCTGCATGCAAATAAACCAGACCTGTAACTGTGACTAAAATGGACAACACTCAAGTCTCAACTTTTGGATTAAGATACCATCTGTCCGGAGATGGACCAACGACCAGAAATTTCTATGGATGTTTACAGCCGGCGAAGAAAAAGAATAGTAAAGGACTTTTAAAAAAATGTGATGGTACTACTCAGTACTGCAGATTTGAAATGGCTATATTTTAACATTTAATATCACAAAACTACCGGACTGTCACAGTTAATAAATGCAATGGGGGATATTTTCACCCAGATTAGGATGGTTGGGGGGAAGGCCCAAAGCTGACCTAAAACACCGAGATAGTCCAGATACTCTAATTTAATACAATAATTTAGTTTTCTTTACCCCAACCGTAGCACATGTAACTTTGTTGTAGATGTGTTGTCTTCTGTAACATAACCCAGTAGAATAGACTAAAGCACCATTGTAGTTTATTAGTTTATCCCCTGTACCTTCTGACATTGAGTCTATCCTCCGAATACCGGTCCCAAATTATCGAGGCCGAAAATATACCCTTCAGGGCCTCAGTCAGGTGTCAATTGCATACTTCCGGGGACTATACCACCACTGCCGAGAGTATCCTTCACGACGCTCACACGTCGTGGATTGGGGCTAAACTAAATGGCCAGGACTAATCGGCTGGTATTAGTCGATCTGCCTGAGAGGCAAGGAACCAACAGTCCGCATACAAAACATTCAGATTTGCAAAACAGATGTGCATGCAACATTTAGGATCTTGAACAGGACTGCATCCAGAAGTGGACAAAGAAGTAGAACTTTCTACTAGGGTTAACAGCTGGTAAACGTAAAGAAGATAATGGTAGTTAATTACTGATTATTAAAAATGGCTCTCCTTGCAATAACGGTCGCTAGTTGGACGGCGACGCCCGCTTCGTCTTCTGGCTGCAGTGCAATTACGGAGTGGAAAAGAGGGAACGAAACAAATGACATAATTAGTGTCACAAGAACGCGATCACTAATGTGAGTCGCAGCGCGTGGTCTAGACGCCATGTTGTCACTTTGATTCGTGCCTTGTCCACTCCGTAATTTCACTGCAGCCAGGGGACTGAACTCTGCCTAAGCGGCTGTCGCCGTCCAAGTAGCGACTGTTATTGCAAGGAGAACCTTAAAAATCTATTAGTTCGAATAAACTTAAAAAATACAAGTCTTTGGGTTGGGGGGGGGGGGGAGGTAAACAATAAAATAGATTGACTTAGAACTTGTAGCTAAATTCACTATACAAAACATTTTCCTTCTATGGTGAAATGTCTGTCAGTGTCATGGACAGATGGCACCTGACTTTGACACCCCTATTTGTGCCAACCGGCGTCAAGACACATTCAAGTCTAGAGCCCATGACTACTGTGTCCTTCTGATGATAATCCAAAATTGGCATAATTTGTTTCTCTTCAAAAATTACATTTTAAAGCAGATTGTTTTATCAGATCTGTTTTGTTTACAATTTGTTGAATCCTGGTAATGCACTGCTTGTATATGTTTAATGTGAGTATTTCTAATTGCAGTTGTATCGATTCTTGGCAAGGCGCACCAATTCAAACTTCAACAAGGTGGTTTTGAAAAGGCTGTTCATGAGCAGGACTAATCGTCCTCCTCTATCTGTGTCCAAGCTGGTAAGTTCATCAGAAAAATAAAATTTTATAGTTAAGTTAAAAAAAACATAATTTCTTGTTTCTTGCTCATGCCATGTGGCTGCCCACAGCACTCTTGTGTACTTATACACCATGATGCCCGTTTATTTTCTGCTGTCATGTTTTTCTTCAGTTGAATTTACTCCCAACTGTCAGTACTAACATCCTCCTCCTAATCCTCCTTCCCTAATAGACCAAAGAATGCAGGTTACACAAACTTTATAGGCACTGGCGTCATGCAAATAGTCGCATATTGTCACGCTTGCAGGCCCAGAATTAACATAAGCAAACAAAATGTCTACGTAAAATTGATCCGGGTCCCCCTCATTAAAGGGGGAGGGGGTGTGTTATGGCCTCAGGGGACCTGCACGCCTAGGTTCATGCGTCCATATAATAATCACACATTTCCTTCCATCACTCTAGACACCCGGGAAAATAGATTCACTTTTCACGTTTAATTTCTCCACTCTGATGCAGGCATCTCTCTCGACTTCTGACACACGAGTTCAGCCCAGCATTTGAAGCTTCTCCTCTCTTTGTTTTCTATTTTTTCCAAGTTCATTTCACATTTTAGTGCTTGATTTGTAATTCTTTGCTCATGCCGTCTCGTATGTGCCCAATATATCTTCACTTTCTTTGTACTCAGTTCTTAAAAGCATTTCTTTTGGTGGTTTAAATATTTTTTGCATAGTCAGTAGTAAATTTATTCTCCTAGCCCTAAATTGCACTGTATCATGTTTTTATACTCATATTTTTTCATTCAAACATGCATGCTTTATACAGATTACCCAAATGCGACTCCATTTGAAATTAAAAACAGCCAACATAATGCTGGAGGAGAATCCTACACTTGTAAAAGGAAACTAACTAAGATAAAGACAGCTGCATAACCTAGTTGCTAACATGCAAACCATCACCCCTTTAAGGATGAACACAGAAAAGGCGGCTTGTTTAGTTCAAGCCATAACTAAGTTTGCATAGGTGCCACAATTTTTGGAAATGTCATGGGCCCACACCCCAGCAAAGAAAGATCAATATGCTGCACATATAGCAATAAGCCAGTAAAACACATGTACACAAAACTCAGGCACAAATCCATCATTGTCAAGCAACCAAGATTTTCCACCAGAGCTTTGGTGAACAAATAAGAATATAACTAGCTAGGATCCGTGGGCCACTTGCTTTGTCTCCGCAGGCCAGTGGGCTATCAATTGAATAGCCCTGGTGTGTGGTAGTCTTCTAGCCTTAAAGTTTGAGCGGGGTAGGTGTTGGATAATGACTTGGTGGCATTCAGACACACAAGACAAAATGACAGGATGCTTGGGAGGAAAAGTGGCAAGTAAGATATCTTGGTCACTCATACTCTAAACTGTTACCTGTTAAATTTAATAACACTTAAAGGAGCCTTTTCCGTGCCTTTAGATGTATTGGCCATATATGGCTAGATCTATATTGTATTTCAAAGATCAGTCAGCACTTGGTGGTTGATGTCAGCATTACTTTAACCACCTTTACATCCCAGAATAGCATCTGCTACCAGCTGTAGGCTGGGTTGATTGACCCGGAACCTCTGATAATTTTTTGGAGGAAAAATCTGACATTCGCGGACAAGCAACCAGCCGCTACACCACGGCAACTCCCAGTAAACATGATAACCATACCCTTCATGTTGTCCTTTTCTTTTGTGTGTACACCTGCAGGTTCGCATGATGAAGAAACCTGGACGTGATAACAAGATTGCTGTTGTTGTTGGAACCATCACTGACGACATCCGCATTCACTCCCTGCCCAAGCTCAAGGTATATTGACTGCCACACCATTTTTAATTGTTCTTCTGCTGTTCAGTTAACTAGCTGCATTCACACAGGGATGTTTTCATTATGTTGTGTATATTCACTACATTACTGGATAAAGGATCATAGGCCTTAACCAACAAAAAAAAGCGAAAGATAGAGAAAAAATGGGGCAAACATAATCTAAACTGTTAGTGAAATCACACTCTACCTAAAACCTGGCTTTAAGGGAAAAGTGTGCAGAGCCATCTGTATGGAACCATGAAGGACCTGCATTTGACATGCAAGTTCATAGGGTGAGCCGCACATGAGAATAACTTTTGTTGAAGGCTTATTCTACATTAGAGTGACAAGAGAAAGGAAAGTTTTCATTAAATCACTTAAAATCTAGGAGGTTTAACTTTACCCAGGGTCCACAATATATATAAAAAAGAGGATTGTCACAGATCAGAGGCCCGAGCTCCACCATAGAAAGATGATACAACTGACATAGATTTATAGGTCAGATTTGTGCCTCAGGCTGTCAGTTAAATAGTCCTGACTTAGATGAAATTTATCGTATCTGGCAACATTTATCACATCTGGGGTGTCTTTTTCTTGGTGTTCAGTGTTAATGGGTGCCAATAATTAAAAAATATTGTGAAGTTATTGTAATGACCTTTTATATGGCATTAAGCCTAGTTAACATGAATTTGCTTGAAAATAACACTTGGTTAACACGAACAGGTTTGTCTTAATAGAAATGTTTTACTAATAGTAGTATTCCCTGGTTATACATATTTGTGTACCACAAACTCAGTTCTCATTAGTGCTGCCACCTGTTTTTAAAACTTATTGGGGGCTTCCTTTGAAGTGAATGCATTTACATAAAAGGCAATGAAACAAGTCTGCTGTGAGTAAGCTAGATCTATAAAGTGCAAAACTCAGGTTATGGAACAGCGGTGAAGCCTGAAGTAAACATGAAGTCCGTTAGTTTTTATTTTTTTATTTAAAGTTCCTAATTTCAGTTCAGTAACACAATGTTCTATTGGCATTGTGTAGATATGTGCTCTGAAAATCACTGACCGTGCTCGTGGCCGCATCCTGAAGGCTGGAGGAGAGATTCTAACCTTTGATCAGCTGGCACTCCGTGCTCCCAAAGGACAGAACACAGTCTTGGTTCAAGGTGAGCTATGTACCTTCTGTTTAATGTGTGCTCGTGGTGTACAAAACCAGTTTGGATGTTATTTAAAATAAAAGAAGGCTGCTAGCTTTAAATACGTGTTTGCTGTTAGATCATTTTGAAATTTGTGGAATGGAGCTACTTTACTAAGGCTGTATTGGTGGATTCTTTTTGCCCATAGAGCAGACCATTTGAGTCGGGTATGAATGCAACCTGTTGCTGTTTCTGAGTGTACATATTGATCAGGAGAATTAAACATAAGTACCAGCACAGAAGGTGGCAGTTAAAAATTCCAGGTACAACCAGGACAGGAATACATTGCAGATGGCCTTTACCATTGAGATAATGCCCAAAGGGCGATCAGTGCATACATATTACACATAGACAAACAATCTAAAAAGCCATATAAACAGACTGGAATATATTTCTAATTTTTTCTGCTGGGTTCCAGTCTCTTCTTCCTTTTCTTTGATCCTTCTGTCAGAAAACATTCTTGGAGGCTGTTAGCTGTCGTGCAGTTCAAATCCTCCTGTGTACCACACAGCTTTGTCTTCACTGGGGTTGGAACAGGTCAGATTGTGTCTTTGTTGTCAGCATACAGTTGACAGTGTTGGAGCACATGCGCAGCATTTTTGGGTGCTACGCTGCAGGGTCACGCCTCCATGTTTCCTTCACCGAAAATTCTTAAACATTTGTTGACAAAGTCACTTGTGCCCAGTCCTTAGTCTAAATATAATACACTGTCCCTCTCTAGAGAGGCGATGAAGCGTGGTGTGTGTATCCAGCCGCCTTTCTTAAATACTAGATTGTATTCATGTTTTCATCTCTTCAAAATTTGGTTGTACCATGTTAGGTCTGGCTGAGAACAGGTTTGTTCACTTGAGAGCACTGAACCTGGTGAAGTATAGGTTGAAGTAAAAGTAGAGTGGGTGTACATAATTTACAGTCTGCATAAAACAGGACAGATAAACTAAACCCGTTGTTGGTTGTTGGGTTGGGAGTAAGTATTGATTCTTGGTTCTTCTTGAGATGGGGATGCTTCTATAGACTTCAAGAACTCTATGTCAAAAGAGGTGTTGCTTGACATAAATTTTATACCGGTAGCCACAGTAAAAGTACAGAACTGGTGCTATTGGTCGCCACATGCTGAAAGTAACATGTGTAGAGTTGTGATCAATCGACTAACTAACCTATAAAACTATATGCGATCGTTTAATATATGCATACTTACTTTGACCATTGCCCTTCCACAGGTCCAAGGAAAGCTCGCAAAGCCTTTAAGCACTTTGGATTGGCTCCTGGTGTGCCACACAGCCACACTAAGTATGTTATATTTATGCTTTCTTCTTCTCTCCTATTGGAGCATTCGCTTTCAACCAACTTATGCCAGTTTGTGCCATCCTTTGCTAAAGCACGCAGCTCACCCCATAAGCTCATATTTTTAACTTCATTCTAGTTATGTTTCAAATTTTTTTTTCGCACGTGCCCTAGCACCAGCAACGTTTTTTCGCTTCAGAATTTCTTTAGTTCTCCTGCAAAGCTCTGCATTAGTAATCCTATTGTACCATTGAATTCCCCCTGTTTTGCTTAGTTTTTAATATAGTTAGATTTTACATTTGGTAGTTTTGCCATTGCCTACTGAATTGTTGGCCCTCAGTGGCATTGTTGAGATGAATGCAAAGCAGTCTGCTGCTGAATCTTGATTGCGAAGTTTAGAGAAAATATAGTTAGTTGATAGGATTTTTATAAAAAGTGACTAAAGGTCTCTGTTTAAATCCGACGGATAGTATTGGTATTACAGTATCACAGAAACAGATCATGCCTGAATGTTCAGTGGTACTAATATGAAACCAGTACAGGCATTGATGTAAAGAGGAATAGGCAGAGGGTCCTATGTAACGCAATGGCACAACAGGATAAATGGTGATTATACATGTCGATGTGTATGTATATATTTCACGACAGTTGCATATAGTACTAGCCTGCAGTTTTGTTAGACAAAAAGCACTCTATAAGTGATGTGGTCAGCATCCTGCTGGCTGCCTCTACTTACTAGCACATTGGCTGGGTTGATTATGAGCAAAAGCAGTTTGTGAAGAAGAAAAATATTTCAAAAATATATATATTACCTGTAATTATTGTTTAGCACAATACTTTCACGTTGTACATTTATTTCCTCAGGCCAATTGTACGCTCCAAGGGCCGTAAATTTGAACGTGCCCGTGGTCGCAGAAAGAGCAGAGGATACAAGGCTTAAAATGTTTTTACTGTTTATTGGGTGTTGCCCATGTATTCAATAAAACTAGTTTAAAGCATTTTTTGTATTGAACTCCTGTTTTTTTATGTCACTTTCATTTAAGTAAGTTTTCTATTTTTGTTTATATTACATTGAACAAGTCAATTCCTTGACAACCAAAATAAGTGATCCAGGTTAGATGTTTTTGTGAAAAAGACAACAGGGCACGACTTACTTATTACTAACATCAGACATTCTTTTTTTAGTCATGTTTGTTTGAAAAAGAAAGAATTTGGAGCGTATAACAACTGGAAAGTTGTTTAGAGATAAAGACCAGCTTGGTAGTGTTTAATGGAACCAGCATGCAGACTATTTAGCTGACACTGCAGTTGCTATGGCTGGCCCAGTACTGTGATGTTATTGCCATGCGCTGAACTTAACCATACTTAGGAGCACACCATAGCCCCGTCTAGACTGATGGACCTCGGGCTGCAAGAATTGAGATCGGAGCACCAATGGATCTGTCCGGAGTGCTGTGATGATAATCATTTCTAATCTCCAGCTTGGTATCACTTGGTAAGGGCACATGAACTGATACCTATGCCAGCCAGTGAGGCATGGTTGCTAAATGATACTTCAATTTTTATGACCGTCAAATGAGACTCAAGTACCTTGGTTCATACGTCTTGACTGCAAGTCCTACTGTTTGACCAATTCAAATATCAGTCCATTGAGTCTCTTACTATTGTATAATTGCTTAGGTTTTGTGTGTTGGTCAAAGATTCTACTTTATGATACACATTGGTCAGAGTATAATGACCTTACAGGGAAGTCATTCCAGATCATGCTTTCCTTGAATGCCACATGGACGAAAGTTCTAACATGAGATTTCAATGTTGTGACGGTTAACTGAAGTTTCAGTTGCGGACTTCTTCTTGGGGGGATCCCTGTGAGCGTAGCCTGTAACGAGTGGAAGCCTTGATATACATGTAACATATGTGTGACCTAGGCTAGATCACGGAAAAGACTGGATGGAGATAATACCATGGTCCTTCTAAGGTGGTAATCCTACTGGTGAGGTTCTGCAGGAATCATATCTCTGCTGCTGTAGACACATAAGGTAAGGGCACAGATAGATCAGCATAGGATAGCAAAAAACTTAAAAGTAGAATATTATTGAATACCAGACTACATCAAGCAGGACTCTGGGAGATAACAGGCGCTTCCTAGGGTACTAGCGTCGGCAGTAGAACATACAGCCATAAATGCAATAATTGTATCGTTTGACTTCATTGACATGCTTCAGAAAATCGCAATAGGTGTATATGCTCTAATGGATAGAAAGCATCGAAAAATCGCACTTTATCTAGGCATGCTGGTGTAAAAGTTAGTGAGGGAGCAGACCAATTTGCAAGCAGTGCGCTAATGCCTGTGGAAAGCGGCATGGGCAGAACGGATATAAACAATTTTGTTCGGGCTGGGCTAGTGGACAATGACGAATCTCCGACTCTTGTATGACTGCGTGACCCGGAAGTGAAGCTCGTCGATACAACCTTTTTAGATACGAGTCATTCTAACCAGCTTCTCGTCCATTTGCTTTCGCTATAAACCACTAAGTACTTTATATACCTATAAGCCATCTGTATAGATAAATAATTACGTCACCTGGGCGGAAATTGTCATGCTAATTTCCTCTTGATATAAGTTTTTAAATAAAAAAAACGAACATGTGGAAGAAGAATTTGTATGCGCCACAGTGTAGCGTTTTAAAATCATTTAGAACTAATATTTTTACAGCTTCGACGTGCCCCTCACTGTGCAAGAATCAGCTGTAATAATAATAAATACCTGTGATGGAAAGAGATAAGAATCTACACAACATTACACACGCGAACATAACGCATTCTTTTCTTTTTGTAGACTAACATTATCAGTCATCCCTCAGTGTGATTCAAGAGAAGGAGAAAGACCAGACAGGAAAAAGATTAACAACAGAGTAATGATGATGATCAACAACAATGAGAAATTAATAGCAGGGGTTGTTTAATTAACCAATTTAATAAGTAAGTAAATTTTACCCCACCAAGACATCACACAGCGCGATAAACACCCGGTGATACAAAGTGCCACTATGAGTATCACCCGTGGAGCAGTCCCAGAAACTGCGTTCAACCGTCAGGTTATATTGCGGCCCCCGGAAAAGGCCAGGATGGGGCTTCAGAATAACGAAAAAATTGCGCCCCGCATTGAGACGACTTTGGTTATTGATCATTTTGTCTCCTCAAGGCTGCTACTCAAAGGTTTATCCTACCATCATGAGATTTCAAACATATCATCCCAGATAAGGTTAGTTGCGTATCCTTTACAGCACGTTGCAGAACCGACGTCCAACAGCCCCTTGCTGTTGTGTGGTTTTTCTAGGCAAATTTACGTTCAGTGGTTTTCCATTGCTTTCTGGATACCACTGTCGAAACCAACGCAAGGCGCATGGCTGACTGACTTTCTACCCCACCAGGACATCACACAAGCGATAAACACCCGATGACACAAAGTGCCACCATGTGGATGAGGATCGCCGTGGAGAGGTCCCAGAAACCGCGTTCAGACATTTGGCCATATGTATGGACTGCCTATATTGCGGCCCCTGGCAAAAGCCAGAGTAGGGCTTCAAATGACAAAAAATTTCGTCCTAAAAAGGACGAATTTGGATATACGCGCTAAGGCGCATGGCCCGCAGCTGGGATGGAACCCGGCATTACGAAGCGTTCGTATCGACTTAGCCACAGATCCCAGATGCCCCTTTGAACTTCTAACGGTAACACCAGTATGCGCGCAAGGAGAGTGAGTTAAGAAACTGGCGATTTCTCTTTATACCACGTGGTTCAGATTATTGCAGCCATTCCATTACGTTCAGTGTGGCTAACTTTAGCTATTGACCAACGCAAATGCAGTTACCGCCCTTCATAGTAGCCAAAATCGGGGATGGGCTGAAAAGCAGCAATTTTTCGACTTGTCCACTACCAGTTACTTCCCCTAGTTAAGAGAAACCGAATTTCTGTCCTTGATAAGTTATTTTTTGAAAATAAATGCAAAAGAAGAATACTAAATTACAAATGGTCAGATTTCCTAACCAATACACAAATAAGGCAAGAATCCAGGCAAGAGTATGTGTCTAATTTTATACGAAAACGCCGCTGGAACTATGTCGGCCACGCCCTTAGAATTGATAAATCAAGACTTCCTTACCAAGCCCTCATTTGGACACCACAGGGCAAAAGATCTCGTGGAAGATCAAGGGAAACTCTACGTAGAACTATCATCAGGGAAGGCTCGCTCATGGGCCACTCATACATCCAAGACCTACAACAGATTGCAACGAACCGCTATGCATGGAGAGTCATGACCTCTGCCCTATGTGCCGCACTCGACACAAGAGGAAAGACTAACTAACTAATAAGTTACCTACTTGTATATCATTGATCCCAGTTTAACAGATCTCGCAGTTAGATAAGACTAGCGCAGCATTATTATTTTCCAAGGACTGCCACGGATTTAATAATTTTGATAGTCTTATTTAAAAAAAAAAAAAAAAATTCGGATTCCCTAATACAACCTCATTGTTAAATGGGGTTTCTGGGACTTGTGTCCGGGTGATTCTATTCCGAATGATAGCACTTTGTGTCACTGGGTGTTAATCATTCGTTGTGGGGTCCTGTTGAAGTTGAACGTCAGTCAGTCAAACAAGAGGTTTTATATACATAGGGAAATTCCCTGATGTAAGTTTCTGACTGAAGATTTGTCAGAAGAATGAAGAAGCAGTTTTTTTTAATCATTTAGAACTGGTCTGGCTACCTTTGAAGTGCCACTAATTGGGGGGGGGGGGAGAATAAGTTGTAATGGCTGTCCGAAAGAGTTGAGAATCTACACAAAAGCAGGCGTGTTACGAGGAGCAGACGTTGCTTACCGTAGATTGGCTAGTTGTGTACATCATCAGGATATCACAAAGGTGACCCAGGAGGAGCAGTAAGACTAGACAGAAGAAAAAGAGGATGAAGAAGAAGAAATTATTTTTGTTTACCTTCGTTTTTGTCGCCATTTCATTTAACTGGAAGTCATTAATTCACGCAAATGGCTTATTTCCAGGCAGCCAACTTGTCAGTTTTACCTAGGGGCAGTAACTGGTAGTGGACAAGTCGAAAAAATGGCTGTTTTTCAGCCCATCCCCGATTTTGCCCATCATGACCTACATTGATACCAAGGGTGGTAACTGCATTAATTCCTGCATCTGCGTCGGTTAAAGTCATCCACACGGCAAGTAATGGACGGGCGGCAATAATCTGAGCAATGGCATAAAGAGACATCGCCAGGTTCTTTACTCTGATGAGTCTCTTTGTGAGCATTTTTCGTTACTTTTAAGCCCCATCCTGGCTGTTGACGGGGGTCCTGACATAACCTAACGGTTGAACAGGGTTTCTGGGATCCTCATCCGAATGGTGGCACTTTGTGTCACCATGATGTTTATCGTTCAGTATGATGTCCTGGTGGGTGGGGGTGGGTCCTTACTCAAACTATCATTGCGCACATACTAGTGTTGCCGTTAAGAGGTTGAATGGGGTATCTGGGATCTACTTTAGTTAGACGTTTAAAATCTCAAGATGGAAAGATAAACTTTTAAGTAGCAGCCTGGAGGGGACAAACTGATCAATCCCAGAACCACTACTTTTGTTTCCCAGAAATTTACAAGAAGTCGATTTCTCATTGTTGTTGATCATCAACAATACTTTGTTGTTGTTGATCTTCTTCTTCTTCCATCTGGTCTTACCCTTCTTACTCATAAATCACACTGAGCAATAGCTGATTATGTACACCAACATTAGTCAGTCTACAGTAAGAACGTATCATGTTCACCTGTGCGATATTGTGCAGTTTTTTAAAATCTCTTTCGATCGGCGCAGTTATTACAACTGATTCTTTCTCAGTGAGTGGCACATCGAAGCTGTGACCATGATTGCTTGGATGTGCCCAGGAACAGAATTATCAATTCAAGACTGATATGGCACTTAGAATCTGAGCAGATCTTGGTGTCTGAGCAGGCTGGATTTAGAGAATGTTACAGCATAAAGATCAAGTCAGCTACCTGTCACAAGCTGTAGAAGATGCCTTACAAGAGAAGTGTGGATCAACTTCAAACAAACTTTCGATGGTGTGTAAAGATGGCCTCATTGGAAAACTAAAAAGAAGTGCAATCCAAGGAAACATACAAAGATGGATCCAATCCCTTTTAACACATCAGGAGAGAGTTACTCTTGATGGCCAGAATAAAAGGGGGTGACTGCAGTCAAGCTAATACCAAAGAATTAATGCAGTGAACTGTGACTAAAAAAGGTTAACGAAATGGGGAAGCAGAAAAACGTGCATGATTTGTGTCGTTTTGTGCAGGTTTTTCTGCTTCCTCATTTCATTAAGCGTTTTAGTCACAGTTCACTGGATTAATTTCTTTATGGCCTGCATAATCATAAGTATTGCTTCACCAAGGTGTACCACAAGGAGGAGTTATCTCTCCAACTCTCTTTCATAGTGTGTGTATATATATAAATGATCTGTTGAAAGGCCTCCCTACAAGCATGAAAGCTGCCCTGTATGCAGATAATCTGGCACTCTGGTGTACTGGTGAAGGTATATCTAAGAATGCATTGAGCAACAGATCTCTTAATGACATGGGCAGAAAAGTGGAATGTTGCCATCAAAATAGACAAAACATCCACAATACTTTTCTCTCCTTTCCCCAGTGACAAAGCTGCTAGTATTGGCCTAGGAACATCCTTGCTAAAGGAAGAAAGCGTCCCCACTTATCTTGAAGTGACATTTGATAATAGGCTCATAGGGAGCAAACATTTAGAAAATGTAGAAGGCCTGTAGACAACTAGGGCTACTTAGAAAACTGACAGGTACAAGTTGGCAGCGAATGTAAAAACCCTAAAGAAAGTTTTTAAATGGAGCGATAAAACCCCCACTTGGAGTTTGGTGTTAATAGCTTAGTCAACAGCTGCTAATTCCCATCTATAGTTATTAGACAGAGTGCCCTTAGACTCATCACAGGATCCACGAAAACTGCACCAATCCTGGAGATGCATAAGATAACTGCAATGCAGACACTGTCCTATAGAAGAGACACTAAAACTATGATCCAGATGGAGAATTTAAAAAGTATGCAGTCAAACCCAATATACAATAAAACGTTTAAATCACCACTGATCACTGGCGCCATGACAGCAAACAGACTGAAATAGTTAGGGCATATTGAAAAAATGTCAAATGATAGAAGTAAAAACTGTATACACTAGGGAGATAAATGGTCGTAGACCACGATGCAGACCAAGAAGACGATGGAGAAATAATATCCAATCAGACCTGCAAACACTTGGTGTCATCAACTGGAAAGAGAAGGCCAACCAGAGAGAAGAGTGGAGGCGGGTGATATCTGCAGCAATGAACCTCAAGGGCTCGCAATGAAGAAGAAGATGAAGTCACACCCAAATGAAAGCAGGATTAGATGATCTGGATTGAGACATCTCAAATGTAGCAGCTTTGATGTTAAATTAAGAAACAAAATCATAGCACTCGGAACACTCCCATAAGCGCTCCACCCCCCATCTTCACCAGCAAACAAAGAGTTCCAATTCCAATGATACCAGTAACTGTCTGATTGTATATTTGTCTCACATTTCCCTTGAGTGTTGAGCATCGGCCAGATCCCCTGGCAACTTCCTCGCAGCGCCATTCTCCTCAGACCGTAATGATCTATTTGCGCTTCCACACTGTTCATTTGCTCCCAGAGGGCTCTCACAACATCTAGCTTGTCATACATAAGTTCACCACCAAGTGGTGCAAAACCGGCAAATATATCTGCCTGCTTATCTCCTAACACAACAGCATGGCCTGAAGAGAATATCCAAAGAATGCTAACTACTTAGGACCTCTGAAGTGAGGCTTGCCACTCTGCACGGGGCATACCTGTCTCCACCTTTCTTAACATACTCTGTGAGACCGCTACAATCACGGCATTTGTGTACAGCTGATTCTCAAGACAGCGGAACGCAACAGTGACTGCCTCCTGAGCAGCTTTGTCCATTGGTGCAAAAGATTTCAAAGACAGTATCAAGCAGATCTACCCATGAGAACAACACCGCTGAACCCTACCCTACCCTGTACCTTAGGGGCAAGTCAGCGACACAATACAGATGACTTTAGTCAATGGATTCACAGCCGTAAATGAGTCCAGTAACTTTCAAAAACAATCAGCTGCTCTTAATATGGTCCAGGAAAACTATCCTGAACAGTCATGGATACATGCTTACACAGATGGATCAGCAACTAGTGTGATTAAAAATGCTGGTGCTGGCATCTTTATCACATACCCACCGCCACACAAAGTATATATCCACTGGTAAATTCTGTTCAAACTAAACAGCAGCGATTATAGCACTGGAGTAGGCTGCCGAAATGTTTAAACACCAGTTCTGACTTTCCTGTGTGGGTTCTGGGGCCCTATTGTGGGGAAAACAAGAATAGCCCCACTGCCTCTCTAAATATCGCAGCCTTGCTGCAAAACATGCACAACACAATTATGTCACCTGGACAAACAAAAAGAAGGATGAGAGTTTTGACAGTGATGAGTTTTCTGAATTCTATTATGAACAAAACATGAGTTCAATAATCATTGCATTTTTTCTCTCTAAATTTCTGGTACCAAAATCAAGACGCGTCTTTTACATGCAATCTTCTTGTACTTTAGGAATTATATTTTTTAAATGTAACAGACAACAGCATCTTCTTCACTTTTCACTATATATTTTTTATAATGTCTATTTGTAACAGTGTCTATACTACTGTTGGTAAAACCTATTCTCTGTCAGTCCCGAATGTTGGGCAGCATATACGAAAAATGACATTCCACAATGTGCCAACGGCTTCACATAGAAGAGCACATGGGAAGGATACAAGCCTTATCCAATGCCACCAGAAAACCTTTAGGTCAGGTCTTTAGCCTATGTTGGCAGCTGGTCTATGAGGGATGCTCTGAGAAGCTGACAGAATGAGCGCTGCACTTCTGATCAGGTAGCTTGTGCTAAATGCTTTCTTCCAGATTCTTTGTGTTACTTTTCCTGATAGAATCTGTAATCTTCAGCTCTGGGAGCGAACTAAACAAATTCCAGTGAATCAAGAGGTGAGGAAAAGACGCTGGGTGTTGGATAGGACTCGCGTGAAAAAATATGAGAACAATATAACTAGAAGGGTTTTGAACTAGAACCCACAAAGGCATAGGAGAAATAAATGTAGACCCAAAAAAAAAAAAAAAAAAAACACACACACAGAGAAGAGAACTAGAAAGTAAAGGTACAAAGACGGGGAAGACATGGGGTGGGCTGCACGCAACGGTAAAGGACAGGATGACTTGGCATGAGCTGGTTGAGGGCTTATGCTCCACTGGAAGATAAAAGGCAGAAGAAGTTATATTAATTAAAGTTCATATCTGACATCTTTATCAATCACACACCTCAATAAAAACTTGTAATCAACAATAACAATAAAGATGATATACCAGTTGTATTTAAACAGTGTTACAACAATACAGAACATCAAGAAATAAATGGATATTCACTACAGAAATATCTCAGAGTACTCCAGATCTTATATGTAAAATAAAGGTAAATATCATGAGTAGCAGCAAAGAGAACTGATGTGAGGCATTAAAGACTATTCATGCAGATTTGCTTACACAATTTGACTGATGATTTAAAAGTAGCATTGTCTAGTTCAAATAAAAAAAAAATTACCTAGTCACATTTGAAAACATTTATAATAAAATTATGAACTGTACATGCTGAAATAACCAAAGGTTTCATTTATGACAGGCATGAATTTACTTTTTAAACTAAAAAGATGCTTGCAAAACTTTGTCAATGCTCCTTTTCACAAGTTATCAGCCTGGCTCTCGGTTTCCTTACATTTGTGAATATCCCTTTTCAGACAGACCAGGACTATTCAACTAAGTTTACTTAGGGACCATAATGTTGAAAATCGGGATTGTCATGGGCCTGAGGCCCCAGCCCTGATTGATCATTAATACAGTACAATTAGCTAGATCCACGGGGCCACTCACAAAGACAGATTTGGCCCACTGGTCATCTGCTGATTAGCCCTGAAATAGACATACAGGTGTACATACCTCCTATATCTATACATCTGAAACACACCTATCAGAGACATCCTATATATGACAGGTGTACATCTGAGAACAACAGACATGGAATATCAGAGTGTTGTGTATAATGCACACACAGGCTTGTAGCATTTGGCCATGCACAATGTGGGTGTGAGCTCAAATAAAATAATGTAAACCAAATATCTGATAAACCTAGTCTAATAAAGCTGAAATATTTTGGCCACATCAAACGACACGGCGGATTGGACAAAAATAATAGCAAAAGGCATGGTACTAGGGAGGAGGAGCAGGGGACGACCAACACGAAGATGGGCATAGGATTTAAATGACTCATTGGATATGAAAGTGCCCAATGCTGGACAGCTGGCGAGAGACCGAGTTTCTTTCAGTGAGACCTGTGATGACAGCGATGTTCTGCAAAGGACCTGCTATATGATGATGATAAATCTAATAAATTTTTACTATAAAGGTTGAAGTGAAGCCGAGTCTAATACATTTTTTTTTATAATAGATGAAACAAGTTAATTAGAATTAATGAATAAACCAGAAATACATGAAAATAGCAGTCAGTTGGGTTTGTCACACAACTAGTTCCAGTACATGTTTCATGTCAAGAGTTGTTCACATCTACAAGTATTGCCCACAAATTATCAAGACTAAATGAAAATGCATATTAGAAAGAGCAAGTAGATTATCTTTAAATAGAATACCGAATTCTGCTGAAAAAAAGTTTCCCCTGGTTGCTTTGCCTTACTGAGATATTGCAGCCTTGTTGTAAACTGCAACACAAAGTTATAATTCCACTAAATCTTCAAGGACACAAGAATTCAGCACCAATTTTTCATCAGGGTAAAACTGTAAATAATTTCTAATAGTTTATGGAGCGGTGCACTTCCATGGTTGTCAAAACATTCTGGGTATTGTACATGATAATGAATGAGAAATTTTTTATGTTTTATCTGAGCAATATGAAAGGAAAAGTTTAATCATAAATTATCCTGATAAACCTCTACAGTACAGGCTGTTCAGCCTTTACGAGTGAAACCTGCTTGCCACTCTTCCCTGAACAAAGACAAAAAGGCGGCATATTCACAGATAATATTTCTGCCTGAGCCTTTACCATTATCACTACGCTATATCTAAAAAATGTTTACCTCACGGAAATGTCGATAAATAACCATAGCCAGACGTCACAACCCATGTCATTTCTCTTAAAAATTTGAGCATGCACGTACAGATATGAAAGATGTAAATAATAAATGTTACAAAAGTCACTGTAGACAGATCTGTAAGATCATTGATTTAAAACGTAAATAGGGAAATCAACACAAGGAATTATTCAGTAAACCTAAAGAGCAACCATATCAGGCTTAAATTCTAGCACTATAGGAAAGTTTCAATTTAACGAAGTCAGTCCCTGAACTCAATCAACCAATCTTCTGACATAAACCAAAAAGAAAAAAAAACTGCTGTTACTACCTCTATTTACCACTTCTGCAGCACTGTCCCCATGAACCTGAGGATTTAAAGAGGTATGGCTAATGCTGTTGCCACAGACTGTACAGGTTAGGATTTTATTTTTGTCCAGCCAGGAAAAACTGCCAACCTTACAGAGGATTCAAACCAGTCTTCCTCTTGACAGCCCAGCGGTTTAACCATTCAGTCAGCTGCTCTTCTGTGACAATGAACAATCTGAGTTTATGTTAAAACCTTCTCAGCCCCAAGTAACCTTTATTTTCAACTGGCTCCAGACACAGAATCCCAGCCCCTGCACATGTTTTGACATTTGGTAAAGAACATAAGACAGCTGACTGCTGCAGTATATATTTAATCTTTTTTTCAAAGTCACAAACACTAAAAGTCACAATGAGATATCACTTCTACATTTTCTTCTTTATAAATGCCATGTGTTGGAGCTGAAACTATTGAAATAAAACTGAGATTCATACAATGGAATGAACAATGTCTATCAGAAGCACTCAAAATCATGGAATGTTGATAATAAAATATTCTGGGGGAACCACACACAAACAAATGTGGGAGAAAAAAACAAAAAAATTACAAAAAATCAAGAGGCGACCTCCTGTCATTGGATAAATTTTGCTCTTCTGTCTTAATATAAAAAAGGAATATTCAATATAATGAGCAGTGTTCGGACAACTTGTACATACCACAGAGGAAAGTTAATTGAAAAAAAAAAACCCAACATCTGTGATCATACTTGGATCTTTAAGTACACTCGTACAGATTTCTGTATAAAAGAAATCAAAACTAACATGTAAAAACACTGTTATGAGTAAGCCAAACGTTCAAAACACTCACAAAGACCTTACAAAAAAAAAAAAAAAGCTTACAGTAAGCATGCTGAAGCAAGTTTTACAATTTAAAATTGATAAATATGCTTTGTCCAAACTGCAGAAATAAAACAAGTCATTCTGGAAGACTTATTGTGTAAACAATGAAATCCCTAGAAATTTAATTTCTGAAACACTTAGTTCTCAATATTAATATTTGATTTCGTAAAAACTTAAGTACACGACCTTTGTCCTGTTTACAAAAACAGCAACTGCAATAACATATTTTTGATCTAAGCTCAATTAGCAGAGTGTATATACTGGAAATGTTCAACAGAGCCTACAAGTTCTGTGAACTATTAAGGATAAAAACAATGATGAATGACAGTCATGTTAAATAAGATTCACGCTTCCATTCTGAGATCACTCAGCTGATTGAGATTTCTCCTTGCCATAACTGGATACTTTATCTGCAATGGAAGATAAAGCTAAAGTCAGTTTTTTTAAAATATGTAAAATGATCACAAAATATTATACAATACTAATTCAATAAGCTGTGGCATTCATATTATATGCTGATAATCTTCTTCTTCTTTTTATCTGGTTACCTCATTAAAGAGGATGCAGAGATCCCAAGTGTCTTTTCTAATACAGTGTATAAGTTATAACTGTTGCCTTGATCCTCATTTCTTTGAGACTGCTCTTGATGATGATGTTTGATCTTTTAAGTGGTCTAGGCCAATTTCAGCCAACCCCCCCCCCCCCCCCTCCCCCTGTTTTTTTTATTGTCTAGCAGACAGTTCTGCTTCTTTGTGCACTTTTCGGTGTGACTTTCTCCCAGGACTTCCATATGGCTTATTTGTCTCTACAGACTGCTTCCTCACCTCCCACGCAGATGCACCATCTTTGATGGAAATACTCCTGATTAGTTGACTTTTATGACATGCTTGTGGAAAGGGGGGGGGGGGTGTCCATATTCTTGGTACACCCAAAATGGTACCCAAGAACCTACACAGAAACCAGTCAGTACAAACATAAAACATTCCTGATCTCCTGTGAGGGTTCTAGGGTATCACTACAAGTTCTGGGCAACACTAAGTCCAGAAGTGGACAAAACAACTAGAAATTTTGACCAGTAAATGCCAAGAAGAACAAGATGCATGATCTGGTAAAATCCTACTATGCCTCTCTACAGGCATAAAGTTCCAGTACAGGTCTGAACAAATCTGGCTGGTTGGAAACAAGCATGTCATTAAAAAATGACTAATTAAGGGTGTTTCCTTTAAAACCGGAGTGCATCTGACTGAGATGAAAGGAACAAATAGTCTGCAAATAACATAAGCCAGATCTGTAAAACAGATGTGCACACAAACCTCAAGTTCTAGAACAAGACCAAAATGCAGAAGTGGATGAAAAACCAAATTTCCTGCTGGAGTTTACAGCCAGGGAAAACTAAGAAGATGTTTATTGCATGCCGTCAGTTTAGACAAGTGGTCACAACCACAGGACTTTAAATTCTCTTTGTAACAGCAACAGCAGACTAGTGTGTCACGCTTTCTCCAATGATATCATTAACATTCAAGTAGAACTGCGCTTCTCTACAATGGTATTCTCAATATTCAAGTGAATGGGCATGTCTCTCCAATAGTACCTTCCACATGGATCTGAATTTTCTACAATAGTGTCTTCATCATTCAAGTGCAAGTCTCTCCAATAGTACCTTCCATATGGATCTGAATTTTTCTACAATGGTATCTTCATCATTCAAGTAAATGTGCATGTCTCTCCAATAGTATCTTCCACATAGATCTGAATTTTTCTACAATGGTATCTTCATCATTCAAGTGAATGTGCATGTCTCTCCAATAGTATCTTCCACATAGATCTAAATTTTTCTACAATGGTATCTTCATCATTCAAGCGAATTTGCATGTCTCTCCAATTCTATCTTCCACATAGATCTGCATTTTTCTACAATGGTATCCCTTTTTCACACACAACGTGTTTTGTCTACAATGGTATCTGCAACATTCAAGAGGTTATAAAAATTTTTTTTTTGTTTTTTGCAATGGCACTCAAAATTCAAGTGGTGCTGTTTTTTTTCCCTTCTCTCTAACGGTAAGCTCAAAATTTAAATCGATCTAAGTTTTTCTCTAACGGTGTTCTCAGCATTCAAGTTAGTCTACAGTTTTCCCGCAAACTACAACTAAACACAACATTCAAAGACTTACTGCAATGAGCACGACCATTAGTTTCAGTCCCCTTGTGCATATTCCCATTGTAGTCGACACACCAGCATTTGAAGTTCTTCTCAGTCTCACCACTGCACTGCTCACGCATGTAGTAGCCCTCTTTGTCACAGCGGGGCATGTAAGAAGCTGTTCACAAAAACAAAAACAAATCACAATTTATTCCATTCAGAGCTGTGCTGAATAATATCCGTTTGCTGCTTACAGATTATCGCAAGATACTACACTACAGAGATCCCCATCACTCTGACACAATGGAATCCAGCGAGAGGTCACATCACACAAGAGCAGGACAGATCAAATATTTATTTTTTCAGCATTCACTGGCTGTAGGCTTTGGCAGCAAGTTTTGGTTGTTCGTTCTCTTCTGGACTTGTGGTTTTGTTTCAGAAGTTAAAATTTGTGGGTACATTAGTTACAGATACGGTTTATTTGTAGCAGAACACTGATTCCTCTCCTCCCAGTCTGATGACACTCCAACTTTGAAGGAAAACCTTTAATTAGTTGCCTTTTTATGACATGTGGTAGAGAACAGTGGGTCTAATTGTTTCCTCAAAATGGGACCATGCACTACATCAAGGGGAAGACACAATATTTGAGGTCATGAATACTTATATCTACCTAGCACACATTAAGGCTCACACCAGAGCCTCTTCAAAACCTGACCATGAAAGGCAGAAGGGGGTCTACAGAAAAGTAGAAGAGTTGTGCTGGTGGAGTAGTTAGTGCAATGGGGCAGCTGGTAACCCTGATCTCATACTATCACCTGGTATCTGTAAAGATGCAACATTTCAAATGACTATGGCAGTTTTTGCCACCAATTTACAACTTAAATGTTCATAAAGATCATGAGATATTAGTCCCATAGCGAGAGGACAGTCTGGCCAACTGGTTAAGAACAATGAGCTCTCATGCGAGAGACCAAGGTTCGAATCCTCAGTAAGTGGATTTTCTCCTGTCCAAGGAGATAAATAAAATACTTACCCACACAGTCCATGGCGCAGCAGTAGCCATGCCGACCCTAAAGCCTCAAAGACCTCCTACCTACACCACAACAGTTGCAAATACAGGTAGTCATGGCAGTGTTTCCACTGCAGCTATTGCGATTGGGGTATGCTATGTTGAGTCATATATGAGGTGGTATCGCTAATTCCCTTCATGTTGCCTTTTCTCCCCAGATAATTTCCTGGTACCATTTTTTTTTTGGCAGACTCAACAATTAGCGAATGTGGTGCCAAAGGCCCTAAATATAGGTCTGAAACTGGATACTGGCAGACTTCAAAATGTATCCAAATTATTATAAAATTATGAAAAATAAAAACCCCCCTACCGATACCTGTTCACATCATGTCTACTTTAATTCTAAAACAAAAAGTTTTATAAAAAAAAAAAAACTTTTAACGTACACAATCAACAGAAAGATTATTGCTAAAGTCAGATACGATTATTTAAACTTATGACATATGGAAGGCTAGCTAAATTTAGAGATTCATCATCATCAAGTGCCTTGCTGAGTGGCATGGGCAATCATGTGTGTATCAGTTTGTGTTTTGATACCCCTTCCCGCCATGACAAAAGGTTGTCAAGAATATTTGTGCGCTATCTTTTTATCTCTTTTTTTCCAGTGGTCACAATATGCTCCAGTTTCCGTCTTCTCATAACATGAACAAAAATTGGTCAGCGTTTGTGATAAAGTTGTCCTCGAGCCTTTGCCTCTTCAAAATATCTAGGTTGCTCTTTTTGACTGTCAAAGGATTTGATTGGTTTAATGGCAATATTTACTATGGAAAATAGCGGTGTTTTCACCTTGCCTTCCGCCGGTTTGTTATGGTTCAACTTTAATAGCTTTTGCCTAAGAGTTATACTCTGCAAGGTTGGGGGGGGGGGGGGTTTATAATGGTACCTACACCCGTCAACGGCCATGTCATAGAGGTTTGAGGTATTTAATAGAGCTAGCTGTCCCACAAGTTAGCATACCTCCTCTCAATGACCACCACCTGTTTTGTTCTACAGCTGCTAATTCAGAATATATTTACGGCTAACCTCTATATCTAGAGGTCGCTGCAACATATGCCACCCAGTGGAGGTGCCTAGTAGAGGACAGATTACCAAGGAAGAAATAATGTACAATAACAACTGAAAACATTCATCTACCAAATTAAGCAAAACACCATTATTTCTCTGTCAGATGATTAACACTGAAACACTGTGAGACTACATAAAAGATTATACATATCACCTCTTGTTACATACCTGGTTGTGCTGACCTTCTGACTTCATCAACCTTCTTGAAACATGGTGCCACTGAGAAAATAATATTTACATATTTCAGAAAAAAAAATACTTATGTCCGAAAAAAAAACCTGAATAATTCTGTACATTCTGAAACAAATCAACAAACATAATATCCCAGGACAAGCGCTCACTTACAAACTGACCATGTAACTGTGCAACCACAAGGGGGTGTTTTCCTGACTGTCCCTTACAGCAGTATTTCCCAAACTTTTCTTAGTCGTGGCGCCTTTTTTCAATTACAATGTTTCTGCGGTGCCCTAACCTAAGTAAGTAAAAGTACTGACTATTTGTATATAACAGATTTAAAAAAAAAAAAAAAATATTTTGCGGGGCCCCTGTGAAGGGTTGTGGATTACTAGGGCAGCGCACAGTTTGGGAATCACTGACTTACAGAATGCTATCTGAAGATGTCAGCACAACAGCTACTTCAAGAACTGTGGATGGCCAACTAAAAGGCCCCATTCAACTTCACAGGAAGTGGCATGGGCAATCATGTGTTTATCAGTTTGTGTTTTGATACCCCGTCACACCATGACAAAAGGTTGTCAAGAATCTTTGTGCTCTGGGGGAAAAGGGGACATGCTCAAGAAAATCAAATTAACAGGTGAATTTACTTTTAAAAACCAATATTTTAAACAGTAATTAAAGATAGAGAGATTGATAATTATGTTGTATGAAGCAATAATTAAAATAAAAAAGCTTAGACACATATTATATTTTCAGTAACAATTGAGGCCAAATTGTTTCATTTAACACAAGAAAATATCAGCATGTAAGTATATCCCCTGTTGACACACAAGCAGATACCCCAGAGTACTAAAGTGAATCTTATCAGAACTATTTTTTTTTGGGCCAACACTATGCTTTCAGTGCCAAATGTGGACATTTACATCCTCCAATGAACGTAAAATTGTGACAACAGAGATGAAATGCCTTAGAAGAGCTGCAGGAGTTTCAAGGTAAGCCAGAATACGAAATCACAAAATCAGACAAATGCTAGGAATAAAGCCAGTCTTACAGGTCATCAAAGAACAACAAAAGAAGTGGTTTGGACACTTAAAGGAATGCCCTGGTTCTATTTGCCACAGCGAGCCACACTCAAACGTTACAACGGATATAGAGTGAGTGGAAGACCTAGGAAAATACGGAGTGATGGCATTAAGAACAGCCTTATCCTGAACACAGAACACACAAGGGAGAACACTGACAGGTTATGGTTATCAGCAAGTGATGTCATACTTACCAACATTAGAAAAACAGCAGCACCATTCATTGCTAGAGAATTTCCCATCAGCATCTTGATCGCAGGAAGTCAGGTAAGGCTGCATGCAGGGCTCTAGGGCATTCTCCTTGAGAACAGACATCTCCTCGTCGTTCAAATAATCATCCCCATTCTTGTCCATTTGAAGGAACTGCCACATGGCAGATTTGAGGCACTCGCATGTGTTTCCTGGAGGTAAAAAAATAGAAGCTCTTGTATATCTAGCATGTTATCCCACCATCAACTCCTTACCTCGCACAGGACTGCAGGTTACCCTATCTTAATGCCCCAATTACAGCTTCCTTGGAGGTTGAACAGGGTATCTGGGATTTGCCCAGCTGGTAAGGAGAATGCCATCAGAAAGTATTAAAAGGAATGTTATGGGAAAAGGATAATCTTGATGATACCATACATATTTCTTTAGGACATTACGATTCAATTTAAAAAAAAACTAATTGGGGGGAGGGTGTATAACTTTTAGGTAGCAACCTGGGGAGGGGGGAGAGAAGGCGGGGAACAGACTGACAGACATAATAATTCTCACATGTTGTTTACATGAAATTGGAATAACCAGTTTTTTTCATCACTTCTTATTCTGCTTTCCTCTTTCCAATTCCACCATTTTTTTTATAAAAAAAAAAACTTAGATCATGTTTCACCCGTTTCGGTGTGAGCTTCAGTTATATTTGTGGTCACTACTGTTGTCCATCTTTTCTATTGGTAGCCTGGTCGTGTTTTCAAGTTTTTTGCATCCATGTCAGTCAGGCTCTGGGCCTGTGATGTTTCGCTGCATGCTATTTATTATTTAGCTCTGCCAGTAATTCTTTTCTGTTTTAACGACTCCCCTGACCTATTATGTCACGTGGGTTGGACTGCATGGACATTTTTAGTTACATCATTATCGGAGGTTCTTAAAACTTATCTTTTATTCATTGAAAACACAGTTCTCCCCATCAGCTTCCCAAGTGTGATTTGGCTATACTATTTTTTTCTCTTTATTCTGCACAGGAACTAGTTAATGCCAGGTTATAGTTTATTAGTAACTGTTTTAGCCAGATTTCTGCTGTTAGCTGTCTCCAACCGCTTTCTAAGCGGTCAGCTCTCTGTACCACTGCCAAAAACCAACGCAAGACAAATCGCCTGCAGCTAGGATAAAATCTAATTCCCGGGCATACAAAGCGCGTTCGCAACGCCACAGAAGCCAACAGATTTTTGCTACAAAGAGCAATTCTGATTTGATTCTAACAATTAAATGTTATGTTATCAGAATCGACATCAGTGCATGCGGCATAGACATGCTTCACTCTCACGTCACGCAATCGTGTTTATTCGTCAACAGTTTAATATTCAAAGCTAGGCACTAGTTTCAACTCTGGCTTTCACACAATTTGTAGTGCTATAAATTAAAGTTTCTCACTTTTATTTGTAATCTTACTGGGTCCCTACCCACGTAGGACTGCAGGTTACGCCTGGTTGGAATGCCCTATTTTGGGCACCTTAATTATATTTCTTTGTAGGCTTGCCCTGCCTAAAAACTGGTACTAGGAAATATCCTGGGTATCCATGTGTCACCGGGGCTGTCACGGGAAGCAAAGAATAGTGACACTGCACCCTACCAGGCATGTCGTAAGAGGCGATTAAGGGTAGGGTTGGGCTTGAGGTTGGCTACCTCATCCTGACATTACCAATTGAATGCCATTTGATCTATAAAAATATAGACCTAGCACCATATGTCTAATGTACTACTGACAGGAAAAGGGTCTTAGTAAAAAACCCCGTTCCACACCTTCAGGTGTATTGGGCATATAGGGCTAGACCTATCAGAGACTAATCTGCACTTTGCAGATGATGTGGTCAACATCACCCTAGCCCTCTTTTCTCACCAGGACTATATCTGGTACCCACTCAAGGCTGGGTCCACCTAGGAGCCAAGGCCATCTTTAAAAAAACAAAACCTGGCTCTGTCAGGACCCCAATTCTGATCTGCAGGCTACATCATGGTGGCCCCAAAGAAGGGTCTTTTACTAAAGTCAAATTTGAACATGTAAGTATATCCCTGTGAGACAGGAATAAAAACCCTTGATAAAACAGAAATTCTAGATAAAATGCAGTACCTTGATGCTCTCTGAGTTCCTTCTTCACTGACACATGCTTGTAGAAGTGCTTGATGTTGCCATCATGTGCCTTCCTGGCAAGGTGGTCCTGACCATGCAGCAGATGGAACCAGCCCATCAGACGGGTCCTCATTTGTGAAAACTGACTTGTGCTGCATTCTGAAAATAAGGCAATCTAACTTGCACATTTGCAAAGGAAGTTAAGATTGTTAATGAATGCGAGGAAAGTTGTGACATTAAAGATGAATCTAGAAAACGGGTAGAATTGTTTACTCTCAACCCAATAAAGTATTTAGGAAAATAAAGAATTTAGGAAACAACTGATACAATGCATTAGAAACAGTATACAGAAGATCCTTACACCCCCCCCCCCTTTCCATCCCCGAGATAACTGAAGAAAAAGAAGAGGATAAAGAACATGTTACAACCAAAAAATGTGTATTGAAGTATTTATGCAATGTCTTCTGTCTGCCTGGATAAACAATTAATTTATATCTTTGGCTCCCTGCCTCTTTCAAAGATACAGGGTATACATTTTGAATAAAATGCTCGTATTTTTTTTCCATCTGTCTTTAACCCCCCAACGGCCCATAAAGTCTTGCCTTCTGCAGCTCCCATCATGACTTCCCTTTATCACCTTTCTTCAGTATCTGTTTGTAGCTTTTCTTCATTCCTGTTATCCTGTAGGTTCCAGGGGAAGAAATTTCTAAAGTTAAATTATTAACAGGCTGCCTCAATATGTGTCATAAGATAAACGGCTAAATAGCTTTCACACGTGATGCCTAAAAAGAATACTTGGCATTAAATGACAAGGCAAGATCCCTGTCATGATCATGGTAGGGGGCGGATCATGTTGTGACGACTAATTAGAGATTTACTGAAATTTGATGTGCTTGGCAGAAAGGCGCAAGTACCACAGTCTAGATCAGTGGTTTTCAACCTTCCTAATGTGGCGACCCTTTAATACAGTTCCTCATGCAGTGGTGACCGCCAATCATACAATTATTTTTGTTGCTACTCTATACTTCAGTGTTTTCTGGTGGTCTTTGGTGACTCATGTGAAAGGGTCGCAACCCACAGGTTGAGAACCTCTAGTCTAGATGAAAACCACAACACAATGTGCCAACTACCCTTTTTTTTTTTAGGTCAAACAGAAGAAGATGATTCTTTTATTTCCCCCGTGTGGGTTCCGGGGCCCCATTGTGGGGAAAACAAGAATAGACCCACTGCCTCCCCAAAAGCATGTCGTAAGAGTTGACTTATTGGGGAGATTCCTTTGAAGTCGGAGTGCATCTGCCGGAGAGGCAAGGAACCAACAGTCTGTATTCAAGAGAATGAGATCTGTAAAACTGATGTACACGCAACACTCAGGTTCTGGAGCAGGACCGCAGTTCAGTAATGGACGAGCAACCAGAACCTTCCGCCAGAGTGTACAGCTGGTGAACGCGAAGAAAAAGAAGATTCTTTTATTTTAGGCTGGGATGACCTGGAAGTCCAGATCAATATGATTGTAAAGATACAAACACATTCATTCTTGCCCTGAAAATAATATTAAAGACATGATTTAAACACATAAACAACAGGCCAGCAGGCAAACATGCTAGTCACTGCACTATGGCAGCTCCTAGACTACTTTAAACCGAATGTTAAACTTCAGTGAATGAAAACATGTGGGCTTTAGCGCTTCATTTCTGGAGGGGAAAAAAAGATGAGCATGTTATACAAAGCAATTAGGATTAGCTGTAATATGATGTCTTGGATCAAAAGGCACAGGTATCACAGCCTAGCTGCAAACCACAACACAAGAGGCCAACTGTACCTTGAAGTGCTTACACAGAAAAAAAACCACCGACTAATTAAAATGTGCCTACCTTCCGCATGAGCAGATGGCTGTAATTCAGTCTGGTGAGACAAAGAAAACAAAAAACTGTACGACAGGTACTAACATAAACACTAAAACGGTTACATCACGATTGTTAAGATCAATATTCAAGCTAACAAAAAAGTGAGTATCAACAGCTTGCACTTCAAGAATCACCTACGCAACAATAATAATTATATTCATCAATTTCAAACCTTTGCTATTTTCATATTTCCATGCATTTACAACTATACTGTACAGCTGTTTCCTCCGTGTGGATTCCGGAACACAACTGAGGAGAAAACAAAAACATACCCATTGCCTCCCCAACAAACATGTCCTTGGAGTTGACTAATTGGGGGCGTCCTTTAAAGTCCGAGTGCACCAGTCCGAGAGGCAAGGAATCACTAGTCTGCAAGCAATACTAAAGTTCTGGTACAAGACTTAAACCAGAAGTAGGTGAACAACCAGAACTTTTCTGCTCAAATTTACAGCCAGTGAGCACGAAAAGGAAGTAGCACAGATGTTTGCAATAAATGTTTTAGAAGCAGGTACTATGCAAATTCTCATACTTTTGAGGGGGAGGGAGGAGGACATTTGTTTACCCATGGTTGACAAGTTTTAAACATCAGTAGTGATCAGATTTTTACCAATCTGTCTTCTTTTAAGTTTCAAAATTCTAAATTCAATGCAAGTGAGCATCCTTGGTATTTAACATCTTCTTCTTATAGTTAATGCAGTGTGGCATGAGTAATCAAGTACATCCACAGCCTTCTCTCTTGATCTTCTGACACAGATATTTTTTCATGTCACACTGACAAACTTTCCAGTGTCATCTCTCTTTGTCTCCCTCTGCCCGTTTTCCCTTCCAACTTTCAATCTGTCATACCTTATTGTTTGTCGCCTTTTCATGTCATGCCCCCCCCCCCAAAAACACCCAGTCAAGTTACGCTTATTTGCCATTTCCTTGGTGTATATTAAAAGTGTCAACGTGCCGAGAGGTATGTATAGCTTAGCATAGTTCTGTAGCAAATGACTGGCACAGAATAAGTTCACTTCTTATGTCCATCTCCAAATGGAGTCGAGGCCCTAAACCAAGCAATCCTGTCTTTTTCCAGCACATGTCATCCCAATCTTATTCACCAGCTATCCCAGTAAATGGAGCCCCATTGTGAGGAAAACAAAAACAGACCCACTGCCTCCCCAACATGCATATCGACCAATAAGGGGGTTTCTTCTAAAGAGGAGTGCAGCTGCCTGAGAGGCAAAGAACCAACAGTCTACATACAAATAAGTCAGATCTGTAAAATGTATGTGCACGCAACTTTCATGTTCTGGAACTAGTCTAAAGTCCAGGGGCGGATAAACAGCGAGAACTTTCTGTCAGAGTTTACAGTTGGTGAACGACAAGAATATTCACCAGTGTCTAATTTTAATTATTTTTAAGTTTTTTTTTATATTTTAAGGATTTCTCCATAAAACTTGTTTCTACTGCCTGTACATACCACTTTTAGTTGTAGGACTGGGGGAAGGGGGGAGTTCATGAGCCTGAGGATTTAAGGCTGCATGGCTAGTACAGTCATTACAAACTGTGCATAGTATAATTTGTATTACCCCCTCCCCCCCCCCCACCCTTTAACAAGGATCAAACCAGGGTATCCCGCAAGACCAGCACACTAGCCTAGCCGATGTATTAATGAATGCATTAATTAGCAAGGTTATAATAAATATTAATGTACACAGTATTTAACTCTTTCAGCCCCAGAATGTTTCACAGCAACTTCAAAATTCTATTTTCGAAGAAGCTTACTAACTACAGTGGAAATGGTTACCGTGAAAGCGACTACTACTTGCATGTGCTTACCAAACATTAAAAGGAAAAAAAAGAAGCAGTTGAAAAAAGAGAAAGTTTGTTTATCATGCAAAAAAATAAAAACAAAATGAAGAAGAAGAAAAGAGAAAGTATGTTTATCATGACAATGGTGCATCAGGTATTTGGTTTGTCTTCTTCTTCTTCGCGTTCACTGGCTGTAAACTCAGGCGGAAAGTTCTGGTTGTTCGTCTACTTCTGGACTGCAGTCCTGTTTCAGAACCTGGGTGTTGCGTGTGCATTCGTTTGACAGATCTGACTCATTCATGTGCAGACTGTTGGTTCCTTGACTGACAGGCCAATGCACTCCGACTTTGAAGGAAGCTCCCAATTAGTTGACTCTTACAACAGGCTTTTGGGTAGGCAGTGGGTCTATTCTTGTTTTCCCTATAATAGGGCACCCGGAACCCAAATGGGGAATTAGGTGTGATGTGATCAACAACATTCCAGCCACCTTTACTTCCTAGGATATTTCCCAGTACCCATTTTAGACTTGGTGAACACAGAAGCTCGTCAGTTATGAAAATTATCCTTGATGCCAATTTTTACCAAAGACCCTATGACCAGCAGATAGGTTCCCAGCCACTGGGATACTATGACGCTCACAAGATAAACAGAAATGAGGGAGAGGAGCCAATCCTAAGTCACATTCCTTGGGACTGAGAGTGTTAAACAGAAAAGAAATTCTGAAATAGAGGTGTTATAATACCTTTGCCTTAACTGTGTCCTTCTGGTGATGTACATTCTGTGCTTCAAAGTGATGCTTCTTCACTTCCACCATGCCTGTCTTGCTTTTCTTGGAAATGCCATTGTAATCATCATGAATGCTGCCACTGTTGTGGTGCTCCTTCTGGAACTGCTTCCATGCCTTCATCTCTTTCTTCTGGAAGCGATGGAACATCTTCATGCTGTAAAACATCACAGGAAGTTATTAAAGAATAGTGGAGCGGTGATTTATGTCACAGGCGTGATGGGAAGTTAAGTCCAACATGATGTGTATAAGGAAATACTCTGTACATCACTTGGGCGCCAGTCCTTCACTGTTCTGGTTTTACGGAACCTCACGCAAGACCCCTGCAGCACGTCCTCGTCGTGCGCCACAGATAATGTCTCAAACGAGCATTAACAGAGCTGTCAGGGGATCTCGGAGTTTGGCGGCCCCCAGAGGTGATGCGTCCTTGTGGCTCTCATCAGCCCGCCCCCAAACGCTTGGGTGAAAAAGGTTATCAAAACTCATTAGGAACATGAGTATGCTTGCCAAACGTACAGCTAAAAATCACAACCCTTGGTTAAAAGAATGCGGAGTGAAGAGAAGATTGCTCACTGTACATCCTCTGTTAACCCTCAGTGTCGTCGTCACCCCGCTGAGGTACACCACAACAGCAACCATCCAGAGGATGGCCATCCATGTAAATCCTCGGTTAACCCTTAGTGTCGTCGCCACCGCGCTGAGGTACACCAAAACAGCAACCATACATAGGCTGGCCAGCCATGTGCATCCTCGGTTAACCCTTAGTGTCGTCGTCACCGTGCTGAGGTACACCACAACAGCAACAGCCCATTGGCTGGCTAAGCCTAAATGTCCGACAAAACTAGATCCTACGGCACACGGGTGTGCCCAAAATCTGACCTCCACAATTTGTACTGAACGGACAAAGACCAAATGTCCACACCCAAAGACCCCACTAGCCCGAGTGTTGGGACCAAACTGACAACGCTATGCCTGACGCAGGATGTAAAATTCTGTCGGGCTAATGACTAGTCAAAGAAATCTAACGTGCGAAGAAAAAAGAATGTACCTATTCGTGTGGTCACAAAAGTACAAAATCCACAGGCTGCTCCCCGCTGACTTCCAGAGGGCGCAGCTCTTGTCGAGCGGGAAGCCTGATACGGTTGTGAGGTTAAGCAGGCATGTGCAGGACGTGACGATTCCTTGGGTGAGCCCAGAACCAGAGCGCCATGTGCCGGCTCTGCATACATGGAAGCCTCCTTGGATGGCGGGGAATGCCCATGATCTGCCCCTGCCTTCCCTTGAGGGCTAACTGTTCCACAGGGGGCTGTCCCAAAGGGGTACCCTGGGGGCAACACCTATGGAGAAGGAGACAAAGTGGACTCCACACAAATCAGGCAACGCCTTGACCCACACAAAACAATGGCCATAGTCAACCTAGAAATAGGCCTGACATCTTCCTTCGAAGTCGGAGTACAGCTGCCCATGAGGCAGGGAACATTAAAATGGTTGTACACGCAAAAATCAGGTCCGGGTGAAAGCCAAAAAAAAAAAAAAAATTTAAAGAATACAAAATATAGTAAAGGACCAAGATCAAAACATATCAAACGTTGAGAAGACCAGTTGTTTTATATAGCTCTGAAACTTGGAGCACAATTAAAAGAAACAAAACCTTATTGCAAATTTTTGACAAATCTTTGGACCCATCAAAGATGCAAACAGCTGGGAATAGAGAGTGAGAGGCAAAAACAAAATTCATAATCTGTTTAAATCACCACTGATCACTGGCATCATAAGAGCTAATAGACTGAAATGGTTGGGGCTTATTGAGAGACTGTCAGATGACAGAGAGGTAAAAAGTGTATGCACAAGGGAGATAAAAGGTTATGAACCCCGAGGCAGACCAAGAAGATGATGGAGAGATTATGTCCAGTCAGATCTATAAACACTTGGTGTTACCAACCGGAAAGAGAAGGCCAACCAGAGAGATAAGTGGAGGCAGGTACTATCTGCAGCACTGATGGAGAGATAATGTCCAGAGACCTACAAACACTTGGTGTTACCAGCTGGAAAGAGAAGGCCCAGTGTTTATAGGTCTGTCTGGACATTATCTCTCCACACCCGTCTCCACTTATCTCTCTGGTTGGTCTTCTTTTTTCCAGCTGGTAACACTCAGTGTTTGTAGGTCTGTCTGGACATCTCTTCTTCAATGCTGCAGATGTCACCCACCTCTATTCATCTCTCTGGTTGGCCTTCTCTTTCCAGCTGGTAACACCAAGTGTTTGTAGGTCCCTGGACATTATATCTCCATCAGTGCTGCAGATACCACCCGCTTCCACTTATCTCTCTGGTTGGCCTTCTCTTTCCAGCTGGTAACACCAAGTGTTTGTAGGTCTTTCTGGACATCTCTTCTTCAATGCTTCAGATATCACCCACCTCTATTTATCTCTCTGCTACTATACTGCCTACAGCTGACTCTGAGAGCCATTATGTTGGGATTGTAAATTTGAATCTTTTCTTTTTTAAATACTATATGATTACTGCTGATTGTAAGTAACATACAAGCATGTCAGCACTTGTGGCTTATTCTCTGCCTTTAGGTGTATTAGAGATACAGTTCATTCATTCATTTATTATCCTGTTGTGCCATTATGTCACATAGGGATCACAGTCTATCCCTCCAATCCATTTTATGCTGTGAAATCAGTTCAATATCATGGACTGAATCCAGACCAGCAGCTTTATGCTCTCTCATCAATGTTCGTCTTAGGGTTTCTTTTGGGCGTCCATGCCTCCTTAATCCCTCTATTTCCCATTGTAATGCCTGTTTGGTGATTCTCTGCTGGTTAGGATGTGTCCAATGTAGCAAAATCTTCTGTCTTATAACTGTTAATACTAGTGGTAGCCCAGACATTTCTCTTATTTCATTTTCCTCAGACATCTGTTTTCGAATGCATTTAACTTTTGTTCAATGCCTTTAGCGGTTCTCCAACTTTCACTTGCATATGTTAAAATTAGGGACATAGTGCTAGTCCCATTTGTTTTTTTTTTACTGATCTCATGAGTGATGTGGCTGACATCATGTTAGTTGCTTTTCCTTCCTAGTACAATCATGGTACCATTTTTAGACTCCGTCAACCCAGGATACCAGGTCAATTTAACGAATGGGTAAACTCTGGCGAAAAGTTCTGGTTGCTCATCCACTTCTGGACTGCAGTCCTGTTCCAGAACGTTGTGTGCACACCCATTTTACAGATCTGACTCATGTGTATGCACTGTTGGTTCCTTGCCTCTCAGGCAGATACACTTCGACTTGAAGGAAGCTGCCTATTAGTCGACTCTTACAACATGCTTGTTGAAGAAGCAGCAGGTCTATTCTTGTTTTCCATACAACAGGGCCTAGGAACCCCCATGGGAAACTGTGCCACCAAAATAAACTGCACATGAAAGTTTTGGGCACAATATTCTAGAACTCCCCAACAACACAAACCTCTTCTTTAAATCCTTCTTGAGAACACAAAAAGGTTTGCTATCAATCGGTCCTGTGATACAAACTTCTCCAGATTTGCACTGGATGCCACATTCAGATTCTGAAATAACATAATCATGAATACTGTAATTGCCCAAGTTTCAGACATTTAGTTTCAACAGTGGGATAGCAGGATTGAATTGTATCCAATCTATAAAAAGGTAAAGTCGGAAGATGTGAACCAGCTGTCACTGCACACGGTTATAAACCATAAGTGCTCTGCCACCAGGAGGACAGCTGATGAAAACCATAAGTGCAAACAACTCCGTAGCTACAGCAACGTTCCTCCATTTACCTTAGAGTGTTAACTCTGGTACCCATTACCTAGATGCTGGGTGAACCCCAGCTGTGGGCTACAGCAAGCCGCAGCTTGATTTGAAAGCAAGTCTCCCACTGACTGTGCTAACACGGCCCCGCAATCCAATCTATACAAATCTTAAACTGACCCAACCGATAAAACAGAATGGATTATTTCCAAACTGTGGTTGGGAGGTAGCTCGTACCAACAAAGTATCTTACAGAACACTTATAGGAAAACTGGCTTGCAATCATTCTTGTGTGAAAACAACATCAGACACTACAATGGTTTATGAAGAAAGTATGGAAGGCATCACTCCTGGAAAATAAGGCAGAGGACAAGTATCATGGTCATGGGACAATAAAAACACTGGGACATTTCAATGTATGCAGCAAAGTAAAAGCCACACAATTTAGCATGTTTTCATGTGTGCATATGGTGACAGTACAATTATGAGGTGGCTTTTTACAACCAACAATGGGAGTTAAGGCAGTTAGCATTACAACGACCTTATCACCTAGTTATATAGTTTTACTAGGTCTAAACAACCTATGGGGCTTGACATGAAAGAACATCTGTATCAGAAATGACTGACAGTACACCAGACAGCGTGTCATCATGGCATGAAAGAAAATCTGTATCAGAAATGACTGATAGAACATCAGACACAAGGATGTCAGACAGTGTGTCATCATGGCATGAAAGAACATCTGTATCAGAAATGACTGACAGAACATCAGACACAAGGATGTCAGACAGTGTGCAATCAAGGCATGAAAGAACATCTGTATCAGAAATGACTGACAGTACACCAGACAGCGTGTCATCATGGCATGAAAGAAAATCTGTATCAGAAATGACTGATAGAACATCAGACACAAGGATGTCAGACAGTGTGTCATCATGGCATGAAAGAACATCTGTATCAGAAATGACTGAAAGTACACCAGACAGTGTGTCATCATGGCATGAAAGAACTTCTGTATCTGAAATAACTGACACTGCACAGACATTACAATCAATGCCTCCAGTATGGGATACATAATATGTGCCCAGCCATGGCTGATAAAAGGGGAGAGAAATGCAATCAACTGACACTGTTACTAACCTTACACAAAAATCAATGCACAATTTAGATTCAGCAAAGAAGGCTCATGATTCCCCTGTCTACAACACCACAAAAGGTGGTAAAACAGACAGCATTGAAAAACATTTTTTTTTTAAAGAATGGCTATAGAAGACTGCACTAATAAGGCACAAAATACAAACAGAAACAGTAAAATGTTTAGGTTCTCTTAACTCTTTGATTATCAAAAGTTCATCATATGTTTCTTTCTCACATCAAAGACAGGGAATTGTTGCTTATCTATTTCACCACAGAGTTGATACAACTCATTCTACAAAGACTGTTTAATTTCTTGTGTCATATATCTGTCTCTTTTTAACTCTCTTATATTACAGTCTTAGGTATGTAAAGCATTCAAGTAGATGTTCAGGGGTAGAACAGCTTAAATAACTGTCTGTAGCAGAAAGAGTTCAAATATCCTTTCATACTTTCTTGGAGACAACAAAAACAAAACATTTATAGTGTTCTTTAGTAACATTAATTACCTTTGTTGATGTGCAACCAAGTCATGTGATCTTTATGTCCTTCTTTATGGGCATACTGAAAATATATTAAATTGACATTTTATCAACTCTCTCAGTTCTAGGAAGTTTCTATTTTCTGTATGAGAACTTCAACAATCTGGCAAGTATGTCCTAAGATGCGACTAATTAGGGTGGGGAGGGGGTCCTTCAAAGTCAGAGTGCATCTGACTGTGAGGCAAGGAACCAACATTCTGCATTCAAAAAATAAGCAAGATCTGTAAAACGGATCCACATACAAAACTCAGGTCCTGGAACACAGCTGAAGTCTAGAGACGGACGAACAACCAGGTCTTTTCGCCAGGGTTTGCAACTGTTGAGCACAAACAAACAACTAACAGGCTGGTAAACCCAAACAAACAGAATGGACAAATGAACAGGTGAACGGAAAATACAGTGGCACCTTGGTATAAGTACCTAAACATTTCCTGATATGGTGAAGTACACCAAACAGTATTGTATCAAATGAATTTTCCACTAAGAAATAAAGGGAGAATGATTAATCAGTTCCAATGAAAGAAAAATCCTTTTATTGCATATTATACATTGATGGGGCTGTAGACAATAATCTGTATACTGCCTAATACTAAAACAAAACAAATACAAAAGCAATTAGATAAAGTAAATGAAAATGTAACCTCACTTTACCTTCCTCAGAAGAGCACCTACTAGGATGGTGATGAGAAGAGAGCAGGAGGAGATATTACTGTTTGAAAGGACAGGCGGGAGTCACCATGGCGGAGAGGCTAGATGCTCACATATGAATCGGAAGGTCGTAGGTTCGCGCCAGACTTTATTAAAAAATGACCTTGGCTCCCAGCCTTGAGTGGGTACCGGGTGCAGTCCCAGGAAGTAAAGGTGGCCGGCGTGATGCTGACTACATCACCCATCTTGTGCCGATTGGTCTATAAAATATAGGTCTAGCCCAATATGCCTAAAGGCGTGGAAAATTGTCCCTTTTTTTTTAACTTACTGGAAAGACAGTCCCCTTCCAATAAAACTTCAGGAATCTGAAATTCTGATGTGTTTTTTTTTTTCTTTCCTTATTTTTCTGCTACTTGGACCTGGTTGAGGTTCACGAGGTTTGAATTGTACTCTGTCTAAAGAACTTTGCTTTCTGCCTTCTCCTTAGAAGGCTTCTGAAATGTTGCATTGTCTGGTTCTTGGGTACGAAAAGTGACAATGTCTGGTCCATTCAGTTAATTCTTTTACTGCTTGTTTGGGCATTGCTGGGATGATACTTCTCTGCAGAGTCACTTACATATATCTGTAGCTTTATCTCGACAGAGGTAAATAAAGATAGTGCAGAGAGTCGTGACTAATAATGACTCACTCATACAAGTACATATTCCCAACAATGGTCATAAACCAAGCAAAGGTTTCATGTGTGAACAGGCACGTATACCAAAGCAAATGTATACCGACATACCAATGTATTAACTTGAGACAAGAATACCATGTTCATGTTATAGTGATGAACATATACTAAGTTTATAGCAATATTAACAGACCTGCTGTCCCCAAACAAGTATGTTGCAAAAGGTGACTAAACAATCAGTTGTGTTAGGACGAGCAACATAACACGCAACTGCTCTTTTCAAGATGAATGCAGTAGAACTTTTAGCACTGAAAGAGTTAACAAACTTAAGTATTTTGTTTTAACATATTAAAAATTGTAATGGTCTCATGTATCTGACGGCTTTACTAAAAGGACCGGGCACAACAGACTTCGTCAACATCTGTTCAAATTCTTCGGTGTAGCAAACACAGAGATGTGTCCCCGCAGCGTGGTAGCCAAAAATGCTGAGCATGTGCTCCAACACTGTCAACTGTATGCTGACAACAGAGACGCAATCTGGCCTGTTCCAATCACAGTGAAGACAAAACTTTATGGTACACGAGAGGATATGAACTGCATGATAGCTTTCATAATGGCTACCGGCCTCCTCCTTATATAAGTTTTCTGACAAAAGGATCGAAGAAGAAGAAGACTTAAGTCTTAGGTAATAAAATATTCTGAAACTGTCAGTTACTGTAAACAAATCTGTGATAACACAAATGACCAGATGATCCTATGAATGATTCTGGTAAATCCAGATGTCTGAATTTTCCTTTGAAATACAGTTTGATGGGCATTCTGTGTGGTTGCTGGCAAAAAAGAACCAGAGTAATTACAGGGTGACCCGTTCACCATGAAGTTGGAACTGCAGCTAACTAACTAGATACACACAGGTAGCATCAGTGTGATATATTTTGTGAAAATGATGGCTGCGAAAGGAGAATGCAATTTGTTTTCTTTTTTAGGAGTTATTTTTGCACTGCAAAGATTTTATCAATCAGTAAACAATCAAAAAGTAATTATCTGGGGTAAATTAAACCTGTAATAATCAAGTTCTATTGAAGTCAAATTCACAAAGAACTATGGACACTTATGGTAAAAAAATGTATGAGGGGAGAGAAAGACTACATACAGAACACTATGCAAGCCTGACAGACTAAGTTGGCACTCTTCCAAATACCGGTCCCAAATTATTCACTGCGAAAAACATCTCTTTGAGAGCCTCAAGAGGTTATGTAGTAAAAAAATGTAGACCATCATAATCATCTTCCACTTCTGCCGTTACCGCTCAATGGATAGCAATATTTAGACGTTAAGCTAGGCGGAGGAATAGTTTTCGATCCATTGCAAAGTCGTGGGGAGGAATAGATTTTGATCCATTGTTCACATTACCCAGGACTCGCCTTGTGGGTTCCAGGGCCACATGTTTGAGGGAAAAAAAAAAGAATAGATCCAGGGCCACCTAAAATGCATATTGTAAAAGGCCACTAATTAGGGCTTTCCTGAAATCAGATGTGTTGGACGCAGATATCGCACCCTAGCTATAAACCACAACACACGTGCATACCGCCCCTTCAAGGGTGAACAAAGTGGCGTCCGTGGCTAAGGCGTTGCGAGTCCGACTCGTAATCCAACATACCGCGATCGAAACCCACTACGGGCTGCGTAGATTTTTATTGTGGTAGGGGACATCGCAGGTCGACCCAGCCTCAAATGGGTACCAGGATGGGCTGACCTGGGAAAGTAAAGACGCCGGCGTAATGCTGACCACATTACCCACCGAGTGCCGATTAGTCTGTGAAAAATATGGGTTCTCTTCCTATATGCCCGATGCGCGTAAGGGCGTGTAAAGGGATGTTTACATTACTTTTTTCAAGGAAGAAAAAAAAGAAAGAAGCTTACCTTCCCATGACATGACCATTGAGCGTCTCGCCGTCACTATCGCAGCCTAGCTGTAAACCACAAGACCGAGTGGAAGGCGCAGATATTGCAGACTAGCTATTAACCACAACGTACGAATCGCCCTTTTAAGGGCTAAAAATAAATAAAAAATTATCGGCGGAATACTTACAACTGGGTTCTCCTTGCAATAACGGTCGCTACTTGGACGGCGACGGCCGCTTAGTCGGAGTTCAGTCCCCTGGCTGCAGTGCAATTACGGAGTGGACAAGGCACGAATCACAAAGTAAGTACTCGACGTTACATATGTTACCCTAACCCTACCCTAGCCCTAATTATGTCATTTGTTTTGTTCCCTCTTTTCCACTCCGTAATTGCACTGCAGCCAGGGGACTGAACTCTGACGAAGCGGCCGTCGCCATCCAACTAGCGACCGTTATTGCAAGGAGAGCCTACAACTGTATTACCGAAGCTCGAGAGTTTGGTTCAAATGAAATTATATAATCACGCGAAGCATAGTTCATAGTGTTCTTATTCCATATTTTTACTATATGACCTTTTGAGGTCCTTAATGGGTGCAATTAAAGGTTTTTTTTTAAACAATTTGGGACCGGTATTCGGAAGAGTGCTGATTAAGTCTGTTAGAGGTGTGGAAATGAAAGGGAGTGACAAACTGTTTTACATTCTTTTATACTGCTTTCATATTTTATGTACATTAAATTTAAACTATGTTAGCATTTGTGGCGAACATGCTTCATAATTCTGAGGTACCAGGATAGTCCCCCAGATGCCAGATGTAGGCGATTTGACATCAGACCGTCTTACGTCTTGTCAACTCTCACTGGCAATGGCCAACTATTGACAGAATGTAAAATTGCTTAGTGGAATCATAAATTCAGTTTCAAAATGCTAGGCTTGGTTCTGTAACGTTCCAAAAATGATATGCAACTAACTAAGGAAGGAGATACGAGGAGGAGGACCCAGGGGGGGGGGGGGGGTGCCGGAGAGTTCCGTCACCTCGTCTTTCTTCACTTCTTTCAACCAAAATTATTTTTAAAATAAAACAATCAGTGCGAGACTCACCTTTCCCTTCTTATGCTGCTTCATTCTGCTGTTCTCCCTATCATAAGGCATTTGTCTGTTATTTGACTTGACATGATTTCCGCCATCCAAGACGCCACCATAATTTTTCACTTTAATGTCGTCCACAAAATTGTCCAACTGTTGGTGACCCGATTTTTTGGAACGACCATCGTCACGGTTCTTATTGTTATGTTCTTTCTTACTACCTTCAGTTAAACAGGCTGTTACAACAAGCAATGCCACGAAGAAGAAGATGGTCTGCATGTTCTTTGAAAATAAATTATATAACAATAATTACAAAAAACAGCAACTGATGATTTGCAGATAATGATTATTATAAGACGACCACAGCCCTGATTATCTCACCGACAGTCACCGACTTCTGCTGGCCAACTACCGGCGTCACCAGATTTTTGTCTTGTTGCTACAGAAGCTGGAATTGTACTGTTGCCAAATGGTTAAAGTTATAACATCTTGTAATTCATAACGTGCTATCTTCAATCTCTTATACGCAACACTCATAACTGAACACTTATAATCTATAATTCAACACTTAGATCTATTATATTCGTTACTTGTAATCTATAACTTCATTCCGTTGCTTTGATTTTTAAAAAAAATCCTCATGTTCAATCAGCATCCCTGAAGAAAGGAAGCTTTAGGGTGTAATTGTGACTAGGTTATGTGTGCCAAATAAAACGTCAGTATTGTTCGCCACCAGGTAGCTCTGAAAGGTATTCCTACAGTGTTGATACGATCAAGGGAGACAGACAAAAATACTAACCCGAATGGCGACGAGGTCGTCTACCGGCCAGCCAATGGGCGACCCGGTCGCCGACTAATCTATAACTTAATACTTATACTATATATATATATATATATACACACACACACACACACATATATATATACACACACACATTCACACAAAAATAATCCAGCGGTTCTCAAACTGGGTGCCGCGGAACCATGGGGTGACGCGAGCGTATGCAAGGGGTGCTGCGGCAATGGTTTGGTTTGGTTTATACAACAGATGAACATCATGATACAGGGTCAGTAACTCACAAGTGCTCCGTTCCACTTCTAACTCAAGATTTAGTCCAAAGAATATCAGCACGAACTCCGTAGTACCGGTGAGGATCCTGAAATACTTTTATTTTGAACTCCAAATTTTGAACGGGCAGCGCCGTTAATCTACTCTTTTAAATTCCCAGCTGCCAAGAGATTCTTTTGCGTGCGCAACAATACACACGGGCGTCCGATCTTACCACCCAGAGACCAGGAAAAATTACTATAAATCCACGTGAAAAAATCACAGGCTTCACTGGGTCTGAACCTGGGGCCTCCAGCATTTAGCCCCACGCGGCAAAAATCAAGACTAGTCGGCTAAAAATTGTGAATTTATTAAAGAAAGTATGCAGATACTTAAAAGTTAAAATATAAGTTGTCTATTCAATCGCTTTAAGGGTAGGTGTGCTGCAAAGGTTTTTTTTTTTTTTTGGGCGATTAAGGTGCCAAGGCGAAAAAAAAGTTTGAGAACTGCTGCTATAATCTGTTTCTCTCTCTCTCTCTCTCTCTCTCTCTCTCTCTCTCTCTCTCTCTCTCTCTCTCTCTCTCTCTCTCTCTCACCCACACACAAACCCCCTCCTCTTTTTCTCTTTTACCTCTGCTGGTGTCTGGGGAAATATAAGGTTTTGTTTCTGGCCACCTCGATCAATGACACATCGTACTGTTTTGGGTTTTCTCTTCTTCTTTCGTTCGCTGGCAATAGATTAACTATTTTTGAAAGGTTGTCTCTAGTTTGAACTCCCCTGACTTTTGTAATTCGCACAGCGACCCCGTAAAGCTTGGCTTGCACCAGTGTTTCTCTTTCTCTTGGTCGAAAGTTTTGCCTTGATATGTTGCATTTGGAACAGTTTTGGCGTATGTTTCTCTGATGTTATCTTTTCATTGTGTTCTTGTCTGCCTTGCTCTATGTGTCCTCCTCTGTTAATCGGAGTATCTGGCTTCTCTCGGTATTATTGTTAGCTTGGGGCTTTCCCCCCCAACCTTCCCAATTAGTAGTAGTAGTAGTAGTAGTAGTAGTAG